AAGAAAAGGAATTCGGCAGAGAGTTCTAGGCTGCGGTCAACGCCGGACGTTCTAAACCCGCGTTCATCATACTGCGCCGAGATAACGCTTTCTCCGGCATTCGAAATTGTATTGCAAATTCATTCTTTGATTGGCTAAAGTGTGCCTCATTCAATCATAGTGATTACAATTCATTGTTTGTCGTTATTTTGCCTAAATAATCACCTACCGTCAAAGGTCTTGTTCTGTGTTAATCAGCGAGCATGTATCAGTAAGTGAATTATCATAGCTTTGTAAGCAATGAAGGTAACAGTCATTTCATGCTTATTAAATTGCTTCAATCATTCATGTGTGTGGCTCAAATCTTACTCTAAATGGAAATTTGACTATTGGCGAATCAATTATATCATTAGCGATTGTAAGTGACCTCGCGTTATTAGAATCTTTTTGTTTTCCTCTATGCCTGGCTTGACTATCGTACGGTCAAGCCGAAGAGAGCCAAAGTTCTAAAATTACAATTTTGAAATCTTTTGTTTAATTAGCTGTCGAATTAAATGAGTAAGTCGAAGCTCATTATCATGTTATTATTTGTTCGAATACCATCACGATTAATTGCCTAATTTAATTAACGAGTATTTGTTTGTTCATTCTATAATAAATCTCACATTTATCATTTACTTTAATTTTTATGATAGACATTTAATTGTATGCAATCTCCAGTTCCTTATCCCATCTTCTCTAGGTAAATTCACAGGAACCTACTCCCGCTCTTCAATATTAGAGCTAGCCATATCTAAAGGAGAGGCACTGCTCCCTCACTTCCCCTCAGTGCCTGGCGCCCTTGCGCTAATCGCGTGAATCGTCGTAAATTTCTTGCCTTACCGTAACTACGCTGTTACAGTCATTACTTGTTTTTATATTTTCATTGATGAACATTGGGTGGTAAATAAAAGTAAAATGAGTATTACTTTTCAGATACATATGTTAAGCAAAGCTATGCTGTGATATCAATGATCAATAAAGTATTAAATGATAATCTTAAAAAATGTCATTTATTTCAATACTAAATAATACTTGACAACAGAATTCTAGTTTGACAAACCTATAAGCATTTTGGTTTGAACTTGAAAATTCTAAGATTACAAATCATGTTATTTATCTAATCTTTCCTTTTTTTGTATGTGTGTTCCACGAGAATTATAGAAAAGTTCAGTGAATTTTTTACAAGGTGGATAGTGATGCCACTGTGACGTTGAACGTTATTAATTAATTGTTTATTAACTATAAACGTGACGACTTTAAAACGCGCTCTGTTTTAGCCTACACTTTCGTGCAATAGCTGGGAAAGAGCTTGTTTATTGCTAATTCTGACAAGTACTAAATCTTTTAGGAATATGAGTTACAACATCTATGTCTGAACAACTAATGTCTGCATAAAAGTTAACTTTCAAAGGTTCAAACATAAATCCGTAAAATAGGAAAGGTAACACAAAAACTGTTCGCACACAAGAGGTTTTTTCCTGTGGTTGACGAGTTAATGTGCTGGAAAGGTTCTAATTAGTTTTGCAAAATGTAACCTTAACCCAAAAGATTAGAAATAAAAAGGAAGATGTATTATTTTTTCTTGAATGAAACAAAAATATTTAAAAACCTGAAAACTTACTTTTTATTGACGGCGGAAATAATTCTGGCAATCACTAGGAGTTTTCTGAATTGGGTTCCCTTTTTTTTTATTCGCTTCAGCACTATTAGAGTGGGACACAAAATACAAAGAGGTTCCCTACTTCCTAACTATTGGAGTTGGCTGCGCAGGAAAGACTAACTAACTATGCACAAAACTGCACCCTCCGACCCTCGCTACAGAGTTTCCCTCTCTTGATCTTAAGCTTTCCCCAACCCCTAAGTGGGACTCATTGGCGCGATTTCCAATTGACTGGGCGGCGCTTTTCTTTTTGGCTAAGCTAATTGGCCCTTTACGCTCGGGAGGCGAGAATTCAAAAATCTATAGTTTTGGGCCTCATTCGAATAATTGGCCTAACATTTACTATTTCCTAACGGTTTCCTACTTATTTATATTATTTTTGTGTATAATTATGAAAAGTATGTGTGTATATATTGTTAACGAATTCTTAATGATTTCCATGATATAATTCCAGTGATTGCCAGTTTACAATTAACTTAAAATTAATTATCCTACGAGATTTTAATGTTACAAATTTCAAATATTAAACTTAGATCTAATCTGAAAATATTACATAGCAAAATAATCATGAATTTTGTATTGAATTACATTTTAAAAACCTTAAAAATATTATATTTTTATATTAATACAAAACTGAATTTTATATATTTTATTATAATGCTAATTCTCATTTTAAACTTTTGCGAAATAAGTATAAGTTTGTTTGTAATTAGATTTGAAATTTAAGTCTTATATTAAAAGCTGAAATATTTATTTTAAAATAAAATTAAACTGAAAATGCAACGTCGCACATTCCAAAAATCAAAGAAATAGATGCGTAATATGCTCGCAGCTTTTTCTTTTTTTTTTATATAGGGTTGTGTATGGACTCGGCAGCGTCGCAACCCGAATAACACAAAAACGTTTGGAAAACGTTTTTAAAACATTTTCAGAAAAACATTAAAACGTTTAGAGACTTTGGTGATGAAAACGTTTTGAAAACGTTTTGAAAACGTATTATATGTCCGCATATTTTTGAGTATTTTAGATAATGCTGGGATTATAAAACGTTTTGAAAACGTTTTGAAAACGTTGTTTTCTACAGAAATCTAGGATTACTTGAATATTTCAACGTTTTTAGGGCGTTTCAAAAACGTTTTGAAAACGCTCTCTTCAATGTAATTTCCAGGCTGGTTGCCATTTCTAAATGTTTTTAGAATGTTTTTAGAACGTTTTGAAAACGTTTTCTCCCATGTAATTTTTAGGTTGATTAAAATTTCAAAACGTTTTAAAAACGTTTTGAAAACGTTGTTTTCTACAGAAATCTAGGATTACTTGAATATTTCAACGTTTTTAGCGGGTTTTAAAAACCTTTTGAAAATGTTTGTAGAACTTTAAATAAAAAAAATTCAAAGTTATTTACTATATATATATATATATATTTTTTTTTCCAAATAATTTTTTTAATAAATTCGTACAGGTAGGTAATAAACAATATTTGCATGGATGTCTTTATTGGTCCACTAAATAAAAATATTTTAACAGTTCAAATGTCAGCTGAATATTATATGTTGGGTCCAACGCTTTTATTGTTAACAATATTCGTAAAGTAACCACCGTGTGTATGATAATTGTGACAGGGCTATAGCGATGCTCGCTGGCCCTGTGTGCGGCACTCTCCTCGCATGAACGCAGCGACCAAGTATACGCTATATAGCGACTACATACTTGTGTCGTTGCAGGATCTGGAGGGAGGAGCGCGACGATCGGCGAGGTGTCGCCGTGAGTGCGAGTGAGAGCGAGAAGAGCGAGGGAGAGAGAGAGAGCGATTTTGACTGATTTTGACGGCGAGAGAAGTGGGAGCGCGGCGGCGCGAGGCTTGGAAAATTAAGAGAGAAGAAGGGCAGTTAGGCGCGAGCTCTCAAGTAATTAGGGCCGCCTAAGGAGAGTCGGAACGAGAGGACTTTTCGGCCAGAGAGTAACGACGGCCAGAAGTACGACTGCCAGTTGCCAGGAGGGCCAGGTATTCCACGTCGAGCCCGGACAAGCAGCGATCATTCGCCGTCCACGAGGCAAAGGCCGTGCTGCGGCCTCTCCTGCAGCAGTCCCAGCCATCGCCAGGGCGCCGTTACCAGCGGGCCTGCGCTTTCGCCGGCGTCGTCTCTCTGCCGACGGACCGTCGGCATCCGGTAGGTCGAAAACCTATTCATCTCTCTCGCGCCAGCTCTCGCTCGATAACGGACATTAGCGTATTTGATTTTATCGCGCACGCTGAGCGATCTCGCTCGCGTGATCTCGCGAACTTTTGTCGTGGAAAGGCTGAGCGAGCGCGCTCGCCGCGGCGAAGTTAATCTTGTAGCGATATTTGTGAAAAGGCGTCAATAAATGAGATCGCCATATGTAATGTCATTGAAATAGAGTGTCCGTTTCTTTGTGTCAACCTTTCCCAGCCAGCGCGAACTTCGGCCTGTGAAAGTCAGCGCCTGCTTTCTTGACCGAGATAGAACCCAGAAAATTAGCAGAGACCAGCCCATGGCGCACGGAGGCTGACCACTCTTGCATAATGATTATATAAAATTACCGTCAAGTGATAATGTTTTCAAAAACTCGATGAAACATATTCTTAACAAAGTGATAAAGTTATATGAAATCACAAAAGAAAATAACCAATTGGTAGAAAACATAAAGTAAATTAAATTATCTGAGCAAACTTCAATTGAGCGATGAAAAAAAATTAACATAGTATTTGCATCGCGGTAAAAGTTCTTAAAAGGTTTAAAATTCTTCTACATTTACATAGCATACGAAAATATATACATAGGGAGAAATTTTCTAATTAGCATCTTTTTGATTTGCACGAAATAGAATAATGAACTATCAAGAAATAATAGATTACGTGGCATAACAAACTAAACTATTTTACAAAGACACTGTACATTAGGTTATTGGAAATTATAATGGATTTGTATGCATGATTACTAATAATTAAAAAATAATAACAGCTCAATGATATGATTTTGACAAACTTATTAAAAATATGTTTAAAGAAACGACTAGATAGAGCCGAAATTTTTTAAGTAATTGTACATGTGTAATTTATCAAATTTCTCCATTTACTACATTTATTTTGGCGTGCAATATATACATGTAGAGGGATCTTAAGCGTTATTTACGTTTTTCTTTTTGGAATGTGAAGCTACATTATTAAAAAATACAAGAAACGAAAATTAGTACTTTTGTAGTGATGATTGCATTAAAGAAAAATTTCTAGAATAAGCTTTGAAATAAATAAAAAATATAAAAACTTTCATAATAAACCGAGCTTAGTGAAAGATTAAAGTTACGAATCAAATGAGCTATCATCATCGTCAGTTGTTCTGTGCTGGGGAGAAGAGTTGATGTGTCCAGACACCTGATTACTTTTAACTCTCACTTCATCATTGGACGAGAATTTTTCATTTTCATGTATCAATGCAGATACTTGAAACTCATTATTATTTCCTCTATTCACCTGGCTCGCAAATGTATCATTCGCCATGGTCTCATTTTCATCGTCTTTTGGGGATTCTTGAGGCATGGATTTATCTAAAACATTAAAATTTCAATTCATTTTAAAATCTTATTTGTTGTCATGATTTTTAAGCAATTCTTAAGAAAAAGTTAATATTATGTTTACCTCTGGCAGATTTTTTTGGTTGGTTGCTTGGTGTAATTCCAAACAGCAACGCCGACACGACAGAATCAGAGTATTTCCTTTTACTATTTGCACCTAGAAATAATTACGAAAACATTTTAATTTCATTTTTTCTCCAAGAAATAAAACAAAATTCAGTTTAAATGTTACAAATATTAAATGGAAATTTGAAAATGGAAAAATAATCAGTTATTTGACTCACACGCAAGAATATTTCGAATATTTTAAAGTCTGCATCAGATGCAATAAAAAATACGTACGACTTTTTAATTTCCCTTCGGCTCCTCTGAGGTACCTGCTGTAATAAGACTTGATTTCTTTGGCACCAACTTGTGCAACACCTATTCGCTTACCATTTTGAGCTTTCGAAGAATCTATAACGATTCCTGCAAACAAACAAAATATATTTACCAATCAATTTTTATATATTTGTGATGATTAAAAAAAATTAATCGAAAAGTATGATACCGCGGTTTTTTTTCAACATCATTTTCAAATAAGCAAAAAAAAATTGCATAAAAATACCGCTGCGAGAAAGTTTAATTTTGATACGAGACGGTAATCTTTTTTTTATATCACCAGAGTAATTCCGTGTATTTGTGACAGTGATAGAGTGGAAAATTGTGCAATACGATACTGAGCGAGGAATAAAACTATTGTCGTGTAGTCAATTGCTATTTAATGGTACATACCTTCCAAAATGGGATACAATTCGGTTCTAATCAAGGCCTTTTTCGTCCCTTTTTGACCCTGTCCGTTGTATAGCCGCTGTACTTGCAATGGCATTACTGCGTTCAATACTTCACGAGCCGTCAATTGCCATTCCCCAAGGACCATTTTTTCCTCTAAATATTTTTTCTGAAAAACATATTATATCCAGTATTACTGTTAAGAACATTACAAAACTCTTGTGTAAACTGAGCGTAGATCCGACTTGAAGCTCCATGCTTTCCAATATTTCAATATTGGTGACGGGCTCTTTTATAAATTTATAATAAATTTTTCAACTTGAAAAAATTATTTCAGAGATCACAGCGCCTGTCCGGTTTCAAATAGGGGAATAGGTCATAAAAACTTCAGCACACAGATGTAAAATATTTGTGACATCTTTCTAATCGTTTGTCTAAAAGAAAAATTATTGATACAAAACTAGTCAGTTTTTAGAGAAAAGTATTTAAAAGCGAAGTAACTTTTCCAGTTGTCAAAGAAAGTAAACAAGTAACAATTTCAAAAACATTTACTTAGAACGCCCTGGAATTGATTGGTCCAAATGTGTAAGTATGAATATTTATGGATGGTTTTATTTTGTAATATCGACCATATATTATTTAGTTAAACCACTGGAAGAAAGCTACGACAAATTTTTCTCACAATAATTTTGTGTAAAACGTACTCATTAGATAAAATGCACGTGGCAAGACAGTTTAATATTTATATAAACTTACCACTCTAGCTCTCAAGTCAGCTGAATTCTCTAGTTCCTGGTTAAACTCCAAAAATAGGTCAAGCGTAGTCATTTTCTGAAACACAGCCATCATGGTCCTTTTTGTTTCGATCCAAGAGGAATCAGACGAATCGTTGGGTGACGGGCTTGATCCAAGTACTTTTTCCTTCGCCTGATAAGTTACCAAACGACATGTGTTACCTACAAATAAGACTTATTCAAAACTACTCCTACTTTTGATATGCGAGCTGGTTAAATGGTATGCAAAGCAACATGAGATACGTACCAAAAACCAAATCTACTTTTCCACTAACTTTGTTCATATTCTCGTTTACTATTTCTAAGTTCTCGTTGACAATAAGAAGAAGTTGGATATCTGTTGAATTATCTGAAACTAAGATGAAATAAATTACGTGTCAAGCAATCGTAAAAATCATGGACTGACAAGCTCTTTGCGATATGAAACTTACTCTTTTTTAACTTTTGAAGCGGTGGAACTGTAGCCAAACTTTTTGCATCATTGGTAATGTCTGTTAATGGCTTCCTTAGTGTAGTACATGGCGAGTTACTAGTAGTAGACGGTTCTCCAGCATCTTCAATTTCGTCATAGTTCTCAACGATCGTGTCTGCGATCAACATTGATAATGTATTGAGACAATTTTAATTAATGTATAAAAAGCATAATAGAATGCATGATTAAACGAACGCTGCAAATTACTTCGAAAGAATGCTATATGTCATAACGCCAATATACATAGTTTTTCAAAACTTTTCAAATAACTTCATTGAAAATGTTGTAAAATGTTTTGATACTATTATAAATAACTATATTTTAAAATTATAAATAACAATATTTTAAAATTTTTGTTGTATCGGACAAAAATGGAATAATCATTAAAAAATTTTATACCACAACTGATATAATACTTCTTTTTTTAATTAAGACATATTGAAGCAGTTGAACAATTTTAATGAACCATTTTTTTAATGCAATACATTGTGATAATAAAAATTAAACTTTCATTTGGCAGCATTGTTTGTAATTTTTTCAATTATCTGGATTTTTCAGACTCACTTGTTTTGTTTCTAATATTAAATGGCTTCTTAGAATGCTGCAACGATTGCCGAAAATCGTAGGACTCGCGCGAGGTAATAAGCGGCTAAGCGAGGTGAGCCGCGTTCGGTTCGCGAGAGAGAGAGAGCGCGTAAGGGGCAATGACCGGGAGGGGAGGCTCCGAGCGCTAGTATGACTGTGCCACTCAGTCAGTTCGTGCGCCTAACCTCCATTTTCCGAGCCGTTCGAGTTTGTGTTTTCGTTCGCTTGACGTTGACATTGTGACTTGCGTGGGTGAGGTGTGCAGCAGCAGCAGCAGCCGCAGCAGCAGCAATAGCAGTAGCAGCAACTGCGATAGCAGTTACAGCAGCAGCATCAACAACAGCAACACCAGAGGCGACAGCAGCAACAGCAATAACAGTATTGGGAGCAGTGCAGCGAGCAGCGAGTCGGTCGATCAACAGTTTGATTGTCGGATACGGTTGGCCACCGTATCCTCATTGATATTGCGGTAGGTGCACCTTCTTTCCCCTTTTGTTAATTGTTGTTAATTTTACGTGCGAATCCGCGCAGCGAGCGCGTAGAGTTTGTTTGTTTTGCGTGCGAGCAGGTAGTTCGCGGCAATCGCGGTTTTTCTCTCTCTCTCTCGATTAGCGTGTTTTGTCAATCACGCGTGCGTGCGTTAGACTCTCGGCTATTTCCCCGTGTAATTAGTTTGATTTAATAAATCATCCCTTGGTTTTGTCGAAACGAGTTTCCGTTATTGTATTTTTCCTTTGTCCGGAGGTCGCGCATATATTTGTTTACATTCCGATTCGAATTCGCCGGTTGCGAAGCACGAATCGCGCAAGTATCGCTAGACGCGAGTCGATAACCTAGGTTCCGGTGGCGGCCGCACCAGCGCTAATAGTACGAGCTACAGCGCCGCCAAGTGGCGAGTTGGGGGAACCCAACTCGGGTAAGTTGAAGACTCTGCGCAGGCGCACTTCGGGCAAGGTAGGTTATTGTGCTTCGTGCACACAGATAACAAGGCGTCGTTCAGTCGCATTTAAAGGTACGTTCCCGTTGTTTTAGACCGAACGGCAGCCTGTTACAATGCTTTGGTAAAAACGGCTCACTAGCAGGGAAATGCTGATCCTCTAATATATTTAGTTTGACTGCTGAACCTTTTCTTGAACTCGCTAATTCATCTAAAAATAATTATTTCTTTAAATTATATTTTTACTGAATACTCATTCTATGTATAGTTAAAAACTATGAGTTGTTTTTCAAATATACATTTTGTACTTTTTAGTGATACTTTTTCCAGAATTTTATATATATTTGTAATGGAAAACTTGTCACCAAAGCAAATCTCTTTACCGTTCCCTATCACGTATATATACAAATTTCTTGTCTCATCATTACATGCGTCGACTTGTATGCCAAGCTATTGAAATTCGAACACATACGCACACTGCGTCTACGTCGGTTTTTAATTCGCGAAACACGCAAAAACGTCCACGAGACTCTACCCGATGTTGTGTCTAGAGTGAGTGTCCGCGTGGAAGGCGCGCGTAATTCGTTTCTCCGGTCGATCGCCTTTTTTTTATTTCGTAAATCGCGTTTATCTTTTTGCGTGACGTCATTGGACTCGCGTATGAGTGTGCTCCTTGGTCTGGTTGATATGAAGAGCCGCATGTGTCAGCTGTCTCGTTCTCGCTTATGTCTGCTCAACACGCGAGTGTCTGCTTGACTGCCACTGGGTGCCGTCGGATCGCGACGTTGACCCTGCAATGCCGATTACTCAGCCGAGGGTAGTCGAAAACAGATAATAATATCGGCCGCGTTAGCAAGCTGGAATTACCCGCGAATTTACACGGTCGGATGCGCGACGGAGAGAAAAAGGGGGCGGCGGTTGGCAAATGTCAAAACTATGGATGTTTTTTAGGTGCTGTGCAGCAGAGCCGCCTGATTCTTATGTGTTGTAATGCACATCATTACAACCTCTATTGCGACACGCTTTCATTATTACGATAACAATCATTCTGCTTACCATTCAAGTTTATTTGTAACAATTTGAAGTTGTAATTAAAACAAAATATTTCCCTTACCATTTTCCATTTCAAAATTCATTCTTTCTTCTTCATTATTTTCTTCAGTTTTGTGAAAACTTTTACCCGACGTCGATGCAATATTCAATAAATTTCGATCAGGCGGCCGAGGCAACATGTCTGTCAAATTACTTTTTGTTGACTTTTTAGTTTGTTTAGTTCCCTTCTCTTTTTTAATTGAAGCAAATTTCTTTGTGGAAAATTGCGTGCTATTTTCACGTTCATCTCCAGAATATAGGACTGCGTGTCGCCCATGTCTTTTTGTTTTATCATTCAGTTCTTTGAAAGTTTCATCTGCTCCTGATGAATAATCTTCACATATTTTCAACATAGTCTGAGCTTCGAAGAAGTTACTTTTTGCTGTAAATATTAACGAGAATAAACTTTGCGATTTAGAATTTTTAAGCAAGTTTGCATTATAAAACTAAATAAAGCTTTGTACACGATGAATAGAAGTTTTCTAGAATGTTGGTATAAAGATGTAAAAGTAAATAGAAAAAAAAATTTTTGACAACAAACATGAAATAAAGAGCGTATATCCTCTTGAAAAGAAATTGATCAAATGATGCAAGAAAATAAAATTATATATGTGAATAATTCAATATTTTATAGTAAAATATAGTATACATGTCTTTTTCTATCACCATGTTTATTAAAACATGGCAGAGAATCAAGCAAAAGAATTGATCACTAGAGAAATATAATAGCTGCATGGTGTCTAACAGAAACTCGAAAAGTATTATTTTCGACATATATGCTCGACTCGACGTGACTTTAGTTCTCTCTCTCTCACTCTCTCCCTCTCTTTCTCTCTTAGAAATAACTAGATGAAATGTCTAACACCACAAAGCAACGGTGATTTTTTTTCTCTCATGGTGGCAGAGTAACCGGAAATTAGCAAGTTGACATTTGTAATCGATAGTCTAGTAACTATAGTAACTCAATTTATTTTATCATTCAAGTACCCGTAATAAAATTGAATCCAACACTTCACTAAGGCATATATATTTGTTCTGTTGAAATTGATTTCAGTGATAAAAAAACTCATATAATTGATGTTAAAAATTTTAAATATAGAAAGTTGCGTCCAAATATCATCCCAGTAGATACTATCAATAAAGTTCGTTGAATTACAATTCTGAATATTTTCAAATATAATAAAAAACGATACCGATGAACACATTTCTGTTGATAATGTTGAGGTAATTTAGTTACAAAAAAAGTTTATTAAATTAAACCGGGATTGACTAGTAATAACATAGGCACACAAAAAAAAATTTTTTTTAGTCCCGCCACCGAGAGTACTTATTTATCATGTATTTTTGGTTGTTGAATACGAGTCCGTCGTCCGTTTTTACCCATCAGGTCCCATTTTTTTTTAATGCAAAAAACTCTCGTATTTAGCACAATAGAAAAATGAAAAATCCAGTTTTAAAAGCATGGTGTTAAATGGAAAAAATTGATAAAGCACCTGATAAAGCAATTTTGACTTCAAATTTGATCTCAATGACCAAAAATACATGAGGAATAAGTACTCTCGTTGGCGGGACTCAAATTTTTTTTTGTGTGCCTGTGTAATCTTTCTACATATAAATGAATGAACATTGTTTTGCCACATTATCAATGAATACATTTTTTTTATATAACATATACTACGGGAGATAATGTAATTACATATTACATATGGTGTAATCGAGTAAATTTTTACACATGTAATTACAAACCAAATATGAGCTTATATTTACATTTTTCGGGTATGTATAATGGTTACCTTGAATACAGTGTCGCTCAATACAAGCGAGAGAACACATTTTTCGGCGATGTCAGTATCTGCGATGTAATAATATTTTTGATACTGATGAAGACTGGATATGTAGAGAAACATTCGAAAGTTTCTTGAAAATTGTTAGTTAAGTCAATCAAACTACCAACCGTGCCACGAACGAACCCTCAATATTTCATACTTTCATTTTAATATAAAAGATTTATATACTCGAATATAATGGCTTTGTAATGGTCACTAAAGAAAAGAAAAAACATCGGTGCTTTTTTTTTTTTTTTTTTTTCATTTATTAAGCAGCTTTCACCTATTGGTTTATCACTGCTACAATCTTAGTTACATTTTTTTATACATTTTTACAATTTGTTGTAAGTATACATGAGTAAGCTTAGTAATTAAACAGTATATGGGTTATTATCATTCTAGTAATAAACATTTACAGGGGAATTTCTATATCTAGAGGGACAACGAAGATCTATGTGTTACACTTTAAGTTTACATTGTCTGAAGAAGTTTACAATGAGTTGGCACGCAATGCCTGCAGGATTAGCGAGAAAAGATTCAACATTGTATGAAGGAAATATATTAACAGATAAGAGAGATTTGATCAACTCCTTTCTTTAAGAGTCATAGAGACCGCATTGCCACAGCACGTGGTTTAGGTTTTCATTTTCGGCGTTACATTTACACTTAGGATCAGTAACGTATTTTAGCCTGTGCAGTGAATCCGCTAAATTGTAATGATCAGCTCGGCATCTGTTGATAGTGACTATGGATTCTCTAGAGATTTTTTTGCCCGCATACCAAGGTTTATTATTGCTATCATAAAAAAGGTGGAAATATTTTAAGCCAGTATTCACACTGTTTTCACGATAGATCCTGTCAGACTCTAGTTTAGCTTCTCGATAGAACGTCTCATATAGATCTGAGTAGGGAATATTTGTAATATCGATAACCGTTTCGTGCACAGCATCTTTAGCCGCTTGGTCAGCCTTTTCATTTCCGAGGATTCCTATGTGAGAGGGAATCCAAAAGTATTGAATGCTTACACTGGGGTTAGAGTCTTTTATTTGATTATACTTTTCTTTTATTTTGAAAATGTAGTTATTATCTTTTAAATATGTGGATTCCAGAGATTGCAAAGCGCTAAGTGAGTCTGACAGGATTATATTTGACAATTAGTGAAATCCTTCGCTACATCGAGGGCATCGAGTAAAGCAATGCATTCCGCCATGTACACTGAGGCGAGAGGATTGATACTTTTTTTTATGCAGATATTATGAGATGGGCACAAGCAAGCACTACCAACAGCAGAGCAGTCATTAATTTTACTACCATCGGTGTAGATGGCTAATGCATTGCTTTGAACAATAAATTCATTAAGAATCGCATTAGGATTCGTAGCGCTTTTTATTTTCCGTCCCATTTCGACGTTCACAGGTATGGCCGTGTAAGCAGTTCTATATTCATACGTATACATGGGGAGGCTATCGTTTGTTTCGAAGCTTTCATTGACTAACATGGTGGAAAGGATGCAATTGCTAATCAAACATTTTACAGAAAAGTGCTTCGTTTTTCTATTACAGATTTTCAAAAAGTTTTTAATAGTATAAGAGGTAGATGAGTTAATATTTGATTGAGTTTTGACTAAGAAGCATTTACAGAGGTATGTGGCTCTTTGCTTAATAGGCATGAGTTTGGATTCAGCAGTTATGACGTTGTTTGGAGTGCTGTTACGGTAACCCAAGGCGCATCTTATTGCTCTGCGTTGAATTATTTCTATTTTGTCAGCTAGGGTTTGGGTAGATGGATAATAAACATATAAGCCGCAGAGGAATTTCACGATGTTTAGTGATTTGGAGCATTTTTTTATAACGAGATCTGCGTGATTCCTAAATGTTAATTTGTAGTCAAGGATAACTCCTAGAAAACGTGCTGATTCGGAGGATTTGATAATACATTCATCTACTTTAATTTCCGTGGAACCAGGACGAAAGTTCCTCTTATTAAAATGAATAAGTTTGGTTTTGCTAGGAGAGAGTTCAAGACCGAGCGCTGCAAGATTTGCCTGGATTTTTTTAATAGCGTTTTGAAGTATCCTTTTGCCTCTTGGGATGTTTTTGCATTTGATATAGAGAGAAAGATCGTCAGCGAATTGAGCAGATATTACAGACTTGGATATGTTCGAGGTGATTAGGGCGACATATATAATATATAGCAGAGGGCTTAGCACACCCCCTTGCGGAACTCCTTTATGCACAAGTCTATAGCCATTTTTAATATGGTCAGAGAAGATGAGCCGTTCATGTGTGAGGAATTTGATGAAATTGAGTACAGAGTTGGAACATCCGATTTCTGCTAGTATGGAAAGGAGAATATCGATATTAATGTTATCAAATGCTCCTTGCACGTCTAAGAAGACAGCTAGAACATCTTTTTTTTCGATAAATGCCTCTTCAACCTTAATGCACAGGTCCGAGAGATTATCGCTGCACGATCTATTCTTACGAAAGCCATTTTGATTTTGAGGAAGTAACTTGAAGTGTTCATTCCACCATGTAAGTCGATTTTTTAGTAACGTTTCAAATAATTTACAGAGGCATGAAGTAAGAGCAATGGGTCGAACGCTTTCGCTGTCAGATTTAGGAATAAAGTGCACATAAGATTGCTTCCAAGAAGGGGGGTAGTCATTTTCACGGTACATTTCATTAAATATATCAGTTAAAATTAATTTTAGCTTGATTGGTAAATTTTGAAGTGCTAAATAGTCGATACCGTCCATACCTGGAGACGATTTTATTTTTTTCGTATCTAGAGCGCTATTAAATTCTTGGAAGTTAAACGGTTCATCAAAAAATTCGTTAGGGTTACTTGACGGGAGCCGGGTTGGATTCGATTGTACCCAGGGGGGACAAAGTTTATCTAAGGCTACTTTCGGCTTTGAGATCATTTTGTAGATTTTCGCGAGTTTGTTGAGAGAAAGTTTTGGACCAACAATTTTTCAAGATTTTGCTAGTGTTCCAAACATAAGTTGGATTTGTATGCGCATTTAGACCTGCCGCGAATTCTTTGAAGCAATCTTTTTTCTTAAGTTTGATCGTTTTGCGATATAAGGCGGCATGTTTTTTATAGTCTATCAGATCAACGAGATTTTTAGAAAACTGCCATTTTTTAAAAGTTGCCCGGCGTAATCTCTTTAAACGAGCACATTCGGCGTCCCACCATGCTACTGGATTTTTCTGTGTTTTTTTATTTTTTTTATATTTTTTTTCCTAGGAGTGCTGACTTGAATTGCTTCCGTAACTAAATCGATAAATTTATTGTACTTTTCGGGTTGGTTTTGACTGATTAAATTCTTGAGATAGGAATATGGAAAAGTTGTTATTTACATAGTTTTCAAATTCCGTCCAGTTTGTTTGTACACTGCTTAATTTAAATGTTTTTTTTTCGTAGTACTGTTTTTCGCTGTCTATATTAATTGTGATAGGGTAGTGATCAGATCCCCAGGTTTCATCGCTCACTTGGCAATTTATTTTATCGCTATTGTTAATGGAAGAGAGAACTAAGTCTATGTTGGATGAGAAATCGCGGCGCATATCAATGTAAGTTTTCGAATAATAATTGTGAATGATTAGGTCGTGAGAGTCAATCGAACTGGCAAGTCTCTCGCCGTTAGAGTTACTATAGTCGCAGTTCCAGATGATGTTGTGTGCATTAAAATCTCCAACAAGTAGACAGTTTTCACGAGTGTTTACATTATCTAGAATAAGATGCCATTGCTGTTGAGTGAGCGTGAGACCGGGAGGTCTGTAACAAGCGATGATGTCAAGAGGGGGTTTTATGTTATTAATGCGAACGCCACACATTTCTACATGCTCGTCGTTGACAACAAGATCGCGTGTTTCAATAAACGCTAAATTATTTCGTATAAGGAAAATAATACCCCCACCTTTTTTGTCTCTTCTGTCTTTCCTGAGTGTGAGGTATCCCGGAAAGCGAATTGTATCTCGGGTCGTAAGCCACGTCTCCACACAGATTATAATGTCGAATTTTTTTATTCTTGTTTCAATCTCTAAGCGTCTTTTTTTAAAACTTTTAGAGTTCCAGTAGAGAATTTTCAAATTAGCTGAAGAGTAAGTTAGATGTTTTAATTGATCCATTTTAATTATAAGTTCTCCGAAGCACTCGTTTCTCCTCCATAGGTCAGGGCTGGATTTTTAAGGCGCTTAAGGATTCTGTTGATTCTTGCTTTGAGATTTTTATCTTCCATTATCTGATCATGTATGTCGTTCAACTCTATTATTAGTCCTTGCGTGTCAGTTGTATATTTTCCAGCTTCTTGATCGATGTTGGAGCTACCATACGAGGTATACAGAAATTTAATCATTGCAGTTAGATCTAACGGGTAGGTGGCATTGTTGTCCTCAAAAAGTTTTTGTACAGGTGCAAGTCTATTAGAAATGTCTTCTTCGCTGGTAGAACGAGACTGTTTATGTCTTTTGGGAGTTTGCTTAATACGAGTAGCATTTGTTTTTAAACTCGGTGTATGATCTGATGAAGAGGACAGTGAGCTGGGAGCGGAGCGTTTTGTATTTACATGCGGCAGTGTCGGCACGGTAAATACATTGGAAACAGCTTCCTTCGTTCTGTTTGTTTTCGGCGCTAGATTTATGTGAAGGCGTTTCAGTGTTTACAGGAATAGCAGGGATTTGAGTATATTCCATTTGCGTGTTGGTTTCGCCTTTCGGGCAGTTGGCAGCAATGTGTCCAATCTCTTTGCATAGGAAGCATTTAATATTGTCAGTGCTGGGATAAACATAGTATGTCACTTCATCGTATTCGATTTTTATCAGATCAGGAACTTTTTTTATGACTTTTGGGTCGATGTAAGTTTGTCTTCTTGAGCTCAGTACATGACTATAACCGTCTTGAGTGATAGATGCTTTGAGAGTAATGATCGGTGAGAATCTTGTAATGCCTAATTGATCTAGAACGTTTTCAAGTACATAGTGAGGAATTGGGGGAGCTACGTTTGAGAAGGTGAGACGTTTTTGTTTTGAGATTAGCGGTCTTAATGAGACTTGTTTATCACTAATGGTAAGGAATGTGTGTGCGTCAGTAAGTTCATTTACTAGCTCCTTACTCGCTAAGTATAAACACACGCGGTTTTTCGAAATTCGCGTAGCATAGACAATATTACTCGGTTCAACTAGATTTCCTATTGCACACGTATAATCTGTAAGATTTAGTCCATCAACGCAGTCCATAATAAGTCCTTGTTCGCGCACTGGAAATAAATCTGCTTGAGCTGCCGTTGCATAACTAACACTATCGGAGGCACTGACTGAATAAGTAAACACATTTGCGAAGGGACTGTAATTGCTTTGACTTTTGGTTAGAAAAGCCATTGTGGAATTATTGAGGAAGTAATTCCTGGTCGTATGGATAATGAGCGGGCCTGAGCCCTATGAGCACGTATAACGCGAACCAATACAAGCCCGATGTAGAGCGATATGTAAACACGTCTGCACTCTTCGAAGGCTCGACGCTAATTCCCAAACATCGGTGCTATTAGTTTCTTGGTGCCAGGTTTTCAAACAAAACAGATCATGAAATTCGTTATAACGAAATATATAAAACAAACAAACATTATGCCGACTTCACTTGCCAAAAAATTTGCCGTCAAAGCTATATATAGACATTATAACTTCTCTCGTAGTCATAATGTGCCATACACGCCACAACGATATAGACAACAACGGTTTTACATCTTTTCTGTACCACTAAACATTGTAATATAGCTCAATAAAGAAAAAAAAAATAATAGAAAAAAATAGGAAAAATGATGGTTCTCCATGTGTGTATGAAAAAAGGTTAACGAAAAACCGCTAAACAATTCCTCAAGTTCGTCGGATGAGAATATTGCGCGCACGATAATGAGATTGAGAGAGAAAGAGAGTGTGAGTGAAAGATTTGATTTGATTTGATTTGATTTCACTTTATTGCACCTTGGGGTTGAATAACCCTGTCTGGTGTTGAGATAATGTACAGAATGAGTTACAAATTTTTATAACTTAATGCATAAAGAAAAACTTGAACAACTTTGCATAACTTAGATATTGCTATGGCAATTGCACAAGATACTATTACTAAGGGCCCATAGCGTGTTAACCATCTGCTGGTCCGCATAACCTGGCGACCATAACCCGCTATGACAGATCATGAATGACATGTGAGGAGTATATTCAGTTTATTAATAGTTGGTAGACATGACTAGGATGCAGGATTGATCGCAGGCCGGTTCGGACCTACAGTGGCACACTTAGGCTACAGCGGTAATTTATAGTAATTTAATTTACACTGAAGAACATAATAGCTTTACATAGAGGACAGATTGGTTACATGTGGCACTTTACAACATATGCAATAAACAAATACAACAGATATACAATTAGATAACATAACGTGGTGAACATAATG